GGGTGGTGGCAACATTACACCATATAGGGCCTCACCAGCGTACTCCCCCATGTTGATCTCTTCCTCAAAGACGTCGCTGAAGCCCTCCCCAGAGTTCAGCAGCTCCAGCCGGCCATCTATGAACTTCAGGGAAGAAGGGAAGAAGCTGTGAGGAGGACCCCCTAGGCCACCCTGCCCCACCCCCGCCCAGACCATGACCCACTTCACCCCACCCCAGCCCACCCCCTACGCAGCCCTGTACCTGTTTGAACAGTTGCAGCTGGATGGCGTTCTGCAGGAACTGCCTCATGGAGCTGGAGCGGTGTGTCACAAAGGCCTCCTCGCTGAAGGTGATTGGCTCCTCCTGGGGACGACACCCTCACACACGTCAGCCACGTGTTCCACACCCACATTAACACGGTCCAAAAGCAAACACCTTTGGAAACGTTTATTCACAAACTCTCTCCTGTGGGCTCTCCAGTCATGGGGTCTCAGGTGGGAGTGGCCACAGTGACTTTCCTTCCAACTGGACCCACATGCTTTCCATCATTAAGTGACACACAACACCAGGTGTCCTGGGGAGCTACTAAGATGAGCCAGAGCTGGGCCTGGAGGTTTGGGGACCCTGCTGTTGGGCCCTAGTGGGAGGTACAACCTCCATCAGCAGGAAGAACCTGGAAGGGTAAGGAGGCTGTTTGGAATGTGGTCCTAAAGACCACCAGCCCAATCTTACCCTTAGCACGCTCAACCGAAGTTCCAGAACCACATTCCAGTCAATATCACATGCCTCCCCCATCCATCAATCAATCAATCCATCCATCCTTCCATCCATACCCTCAGATGGGAATTCAGAGAATCTCACTTGGATTTGAAATAACAGGTCAAAGCTCTGGAGGAGTGGAAGTGTAACCCTAACCGTGCAGTGTCACCCCCTGAAGCTTGCACTCACCTGTATATGCCTTATGCATCCCATAGAGATGTAAGCAAAAAGACTATTACGCCAGGAGGAATAAAGTTTCACTATTTTGTGTGTTTTTATAGCGTAGGCGCAGCGTGCCTGTAGTGTTTTGATAGCTTACGCGCAGTGTGCCTGTAGTGTTTTGATAGCGTACGTGCAGTGTGCCTGCAGTGTTTTTATAGCGTACGCTAGTGTTGTAGTCAAGACCGCCTAAACCGAGACCAAGACATTGC